CAGGGTTGCAACCAGATACCAGCTTCAAAGTGAGTAACAATAGCGACGACCTGAGCATGACCCTATGCTAATGATTCATGGACACTACTTTTATATTCGCAAACAATTTGGTTTCTGACACATCTGAATTTGTTTAAACGTCACTGATATGGATTTTATGCGAATATGCGCTTCACAGTACAATAAGTATAAGCACGAGTGCAAAGGGCTCAAACCGTTTTAATAGTGGTATCGCCAGGCGATGTTTGCACAAATCTTCGACCTACGGTCCGAGTTAAAAAGGGCACATGGCAATTTATCTTATCAGAAATAAGTGTTATAAGCAGTCGGACTCAAAGCAGCGCTTTTATTACGGAATAAACTTGACGGTTTACGCGTTTTTGGGAACAATTTCTAGGGAGCCACGTTGTAGATTATGTATCTCTCTGCACTCTAAATAGATCTTTAATAAAGATTTCAAAATTTCTTACCATTTCAGAGGATTTTAGGTGATTGTTTCGAACGGCTAGGCATAAAACAGAGAAGATTTTATTATCATTGTTAAAAAATTTGTCTCTCTCTCATAATTTGGCCCCGAGTTCAGAAGTAAGCCATTAGTAGTATGCTGCAGTAGTGTAGAGATTCAAGCCTTAAGACAAAGCAATAACAAAAGAAATGAATAGAATGGGCCTTAGAAATGACAAACCCGGTCACAGCATTTGAGAAAAGTCTCCAAATAACTCGAAAGTACAATTTGAGCAGTATTTAGCTAAAATTAATTACTTAATGAAAAGCAAAACTTTATTTGAGCACTATAATATGAAATTTTAGGTAGTTTAAAGCTGGCTACTTCGTTATTAAGCTTCCAACAAAAAAACTCAAGTTGAAAACAAGGAACAAAACTCGAAAATTATCTATTTTGAGTATATTAACTTTTTAATGCTACAGTAAAAGGGTTGAAACCCATGAATATTTGGACTGAAGAAGCTTAGCCTGTTTGCAGTGGGCATGGAGTTTCTTGTGCAAAGTGTCAAATGCTTAACTACAATGCCGCTCATAACGTTTGCAAAAGAAATGTGATTTCACGTAAAAATCCATCGCAAAAGTCGCATAGTCATAACATCTTTCAAAATAGTTATTTTCTGGAAAGACAAGCAGTGCTAGACTCAGCTCATCCAGGCGAATCTTATGGTATGCCACACTACAGTAATATCTGAGGTGTACGGTAATACGGTAGAAAGTTTCTCTAAAACTTTGTGTCG